TATGCATGTACTTCTTCAGAGCTGAACGAGCATTTCTCTCCCCCCCCCTTTGCAAAATACATATACAAAAATACTCGAAAACTACATATATAAATTTCAATTCAGATTATGTTCTAATGTCTTTTACAAATTAAAGAAGAAAAAGTGTACAAAATGTTGATAAATACCCAAACTTGAATAAAAATAGTTTTTCATGTTCATAAACCCTTAATAGGTAAATAAAAGACTTGGCTGTATTAGCCCATGAAACTACAAAATTCCTCCTATTCACGCCTGGTTGAAAACTCTTGGTCTAGATCAGGGTTTCTTAAACTTTTTTCAGTCGCGACCCCTTTTTATCACTGAGATTTTTTTCGCGACCCCCAACCATAATATTTACGAACATTTTGTGGGACCCCATAAGCATCGCGCAAATCCAACACACGCGCGTGTGAAACTGTCAGTTTTTTCACTTATACTGTTATATATTATTGCAGTTTTAGGTCATTAACTTTCATTCCTAATTTTAAGACATAGAACAATATGAAAATTTTAAATAAGTAACAGAGGAAATGACAGCGTCACTTGCAAAGAAAGTAAAATGAACATTTTTATTATAAAAAGAAAGGGTTGAAATGCTTTCCGTTTTTCTTTGTCTGTATTGTCTTATCTATTTTCAGATACATTGTTAGTAATACCATACCCACTTCTCAAGATTATTCAAATACATTGTGTAAAAATATTTGGTAATTGTAAAATTATTATAATAAGAAATAGCAAAACTGCTAAATTTTTTGGCGACCCTTGCTGCAGTTCCCGCGACCCACAGTTCAAGAAACGCTGGTCTAGATCATAAAGCCCTTTCCTAGGGCTTCACAATTTCTAGCGCTCCAATATCAGCCTATAATTTCGCATAATCTCCTTTTACCTTTATAAAAACAAAGAAAGTATATCTTAGGGGTCCTTAGAAAAACTTTGTGACTAAGACCCTGGATGTCTTAATCGGGCTTGTATTTGCGTTTTAAATTCGTTTGCACAAGAAATTGTAATGCTTTTATCATTGAATAATAATTACTATTGTTCAATTTGTTCAACAAATTATTAATTAGAAGTATTACAATAATTGCTACTAATTAATAAGTTATTAAACATATGACTATAAATTATTATTTTTGTAAACATAATTAAAACTTATTAGATTATTTTCAGTTTCCTGTGCTAATGCTTTCAATACAAAATCTGTTTACTTATTTAAAAAAAAATAAAGTCTACATTCGATTAGAATACTTTCTATTTTATGAATTAAACTGTTGTTGAAAAAGATATTAATGTATTTTTGCGGGGGGGGGGGGGGGGAATTCCGTTTACAATTTTACGTTTTCCCTTCACATTTAATTCTAAATTTAGAAGCCTCTTTAATTCGTTAAACTCGCCTTTTCTTAACATGGTTATGAAAATATCTATTTGGAATTCAATAGTTGTAAGAAAAATCCGTGAGTTCATCAGTATATTTTGTTTTATTCTAATTAATTTACTTATAACACATTTTCAATGAATACTTAGAAATCTCTGTAATCTCATTCGTATAATAACTGAAGAAGACATTGCCACTTCTTCGAAAGATAAGTATGTTTGAACTCATTTAATTGACATTCGCTTTTATTTCATTGACTCATGCATTGAAAAGTCAACCTACTTAATCGATATTTTTTGCAGTTATAAAAACATCATTTTAATTGCTTTGAATTCATGAATTAAATCGTTTTTATCCAAAAACAAGTAGCAGAACTGGCCTGATTAGTTGAGACATTTGAATAGACCGGAAGAGGGGAGGGCGGTTGGTAATACCTATTAAATTGTTTCCAAAGTATAGCACGTAAATAAAATATAAATATAAAAATCTGGAGCTCGAAGTCACCTGATATTGTAATTACATACTACCTTCCCTTCCGATTTGAAATGTAATTAGCCTTTTTAATGAAGCGGTTCCATTAAACTTAATTAAGTAATCACCCCAATGTAAGTGAAATGCAATTATACAAATATAATGAATTTATGATTGTTTAATTTAACATAACAAAGTACAATTTGATTAAAATCTGTAGTAGCAAAAGATGCCATTTGCCATTTTTATAGTACATTACATAGTTATATGGAGGAAAACGTTATATGATGTGTTCTTAAAACAGCTGCATTGTAATAAAATGAAATAAATTACAAAATCACAAAAGCGTTTTAAGAATATTATTAGGATAAGCTAAAAGAATAAATTAAAAATTCCTTTCTTTTTGCAAATAAAAAAATGTGAATGAAAAATTGTATTTCATTGTTTTTTTACAGCCTTAAAAAAAGACAAATTGTCAGTTACTGTATTACAAATAAACAGCTTTTATTTTCGAATAGCTGCAGATCAAGCTTTGTATTGAAAATCATTATAGTTTCTTGCTGTGTACAACTTTTAATTTTTATTATTTGAAAGCGCAGTATGAAATTTTCAAAATTTTCCCAACAGTTTTTAGAGATGTTTCGTTTACATTTATTGATCGATGAAAATTTTATTCTTTGCTTATGTTTTTAATGAACGATGAGAGAGAAATACCTTAAAATATTAAAATATTTTTGAAAAATACTTAATTTTAACTATTTTAAAACTTAAATTTATACTTAATTTAAATTTATACCTGAACTATTTTTTTTTTAAGTATTTTTTATAACTTTTTACTTAAAAAGGATTATATTATCTATAATGTTAAATGCATAAAAGTTAAAGATTTTCAAATTTTTTCAAATAACAGCTATCAGCTATTAGATTTAAACATTTTAGATTTCTACCCTTGAGTTAATTTAAAAAAAAAAAAAAAAAAAAAAAAAACTTTACTTTTCAAACATTTCTGAGGTGAAAATATATGTTTATTATTCTGAATATTAAGTTCTTATTCTTTCAAAACTTGACACAGAAAATATCGTGATTATTTAATCGGAATTTGATACTGCAAGATGTTCAGAATTAAATAATATTGCCCTTGCTATACTGGCATCACATATTTCTGTCATTTTTAGTACACCAAGCACGTACACATAATTTTATCATTATTAGGGCAAGTGCAGCATGATATATTTCTCAAAACAATACGAAATGCAATTACTTTTACTCTTAGTAACAATTACATAGTAGAGCAATTACATTTTCTTAGTAAAGCAGAACAAAAAAATTTTTTCTCACAGCGTCAACATGTTCTAATGATTAGCAAATAAAGCAAATAAATGCAAATAAAGCAAGAAAAAGTGGCATCGGTGTTAGACATGAAACTGCATCATTCTAAACATTACATTTAAAATAAACTTAAGTTCTCAACAAGCATTCACTAAATTTTCGGTAGCCAACTGTTTTTGGCTGTGGGTCAAAATCAACTAAAATGTGTGTGTTAAGGAGATGTTTCGCTTCAGTCGTATTTTCATTTCATAAACAGTTCTTTCTTGGTTCGTCTTGCAAGAAACACACCAAAGTGTTTTTCGGATTTTTGAAAAGAACTGAAACGCAACATTTTACTTGCCCCTCCGCCAAACATTGGCCTGAAGTTTTGCAACAAAGTTTATTCCGTCAGCGTGGCCATTTAGCCGATGTAATAGCTGCCTCAGTGGATAGCCGTCGGTAGAAAAGAAAGAAGTTCTTTCTTGGTGAATAATAGGATACATTTTATTGAGAAAATAGTTACAATACGCTTTAAACTTTAAACATAAAAATTAAAATCGTAAGCCTAATTATTATAAAAATAAGCATAACTGAATTCCCTTCGGTATGAATGGCTTTGCTTGTAGTCGAACTCGTGCCATCAGTTTAGTCAAATCTGGCTTATACGTAAGTTAGTCATTTTAAGACCAATACAAGCATCTGAAATTTCGATAGTTAAGCTGCTCTTGTTCTTTTTTAAAATAAATTTCATACGTGAAAATATTTTCTCGCATTTATAAGTTGAATCGAATACAGACAAAACAGTACACTATTTTTTTTTTTTTTTTTTTTTTTTTAATTTAATTGTGAGTTACGGATCGGTATTGCCAAACTTATCGATTTCTTCTTCAAATAATGTTAAAATTTTGGGTATTTTTTTAATGTATTCTTTAGGTATTCATTTCATACTTATGTCTTATATTTAATTTTTATATATTATATTTTATTTTCGGAACTCATGTGGGTTACTTGAAATGTCGAGGCCTGTATTAGAAACTAATTCCAAAAAATCAACTAATACATATTTCATAATGTAATAAGATTGATTTTAGTACAGAAATCGATGAATTTCTGTTTGTTACAGAATTTCTTCATATTAGATTATTACGTTATATTACACATTAGATTTATGGATCACGTATTTCATTCAGGTTTAATATTTCTCTCTCCTTATATCATAACAACTACTTTTTCTTAGTAAATACCATCTCTGCAGACATCGAATACTGAAAAGTTCAAGCGAATTTATTTATAATTCTTAATCTTCAGTTAACTAAACATAACATGCAAGAAATATTGTGAAACTAAATTATAGTTTTTCAGTTTTTCTTTAAATGTATATTGGATAAAAATCTCACAGTGCGTTATTAAATATTCTCTCATTTAAAATGACTGCTTTATACAAATATATTCTAAGCATAATTATAATGCAAAATGTTGAGCATTATCTACGTTCATAAAGAAGAGCACATGAACCAGTGTAACGAATGTTTCAGTAGATTAACAATTCACTCACAACTTAATTTAATCTCATAAAAATATTACATCTTTGCTAGGAAGAAGAATAAATGGCCTCCACAGTAAAATTTACTACATGGCTCGTCAAACGAGATATTAATGTGAAACAAATATTACTATTACTGAAACATTAAAAAAATTATAACCCGGAGATGAACTGCGATTTGATTCTAGAATTTAAGATAATACAGAAAATAATAAATCACTATCTGAAATAATAGTGTAGGCTTAGTAATCATTCCTTCTAAAATATTTGGAAAAATGAACTCACCGTTTCCGACGTCTCTGGACCCTTCTTCATCAGAAGATGCACCACCGTCTTCCGCTTCGTCCTCTAGAGGAGGTGAGAAGTGGCTTACCCCATTCGGCCTGCGAATGTCCAAGGGCCTGAAGAAGGGAGGGGGTTGCAAAGGATGGTGAGGGTGGTGTAGAACGCTAAGAGGGTGCGGAGGTGCTCCACTCATCGGAGGACTCGACCCCACAGGTGGACTGAATCCTCTTTGACCGGACTTCTGGTCGGCCGACCCGCTCAAAATATCTCGAATGAGGAAAGATGACGGGGCCGACGAGTTGGGAGACGGGACCCCGGGTCTGGGCCGCATGGTAGCCGGCATTTGAGAGAGAGTTTTGCCGCTGGTTTTATCCTCGGCCGAGGGGTCCTCGCTGCTCGCGTGACGGTCCGGCGGCATCAGTTTCTGCGGCAGATCGACAGTCATGGCCTGCTGGCCGTAGTAGAAAGGTGATCCCGTAATGATCGGAAAAGAATCGAATGGCAAAAACTCGCGAATGAGTCCCGCCGACTTGCTGCGAACCAAAACAAACGGATTTTGAGAGAGCTCCTCTCACTCTGTGCCTGCTCGTCGAAGAGTTCCGACCGGTTCTGCGACGGGCCTCCGGACCCACGACCACTCGCTACCGCCTTCAGCTACCGTCGGTCGGGAACGCCCATCCAATCGGAAAGCTAGTTTCGTGACGTCAGAAGACGATGAGCGGAATGGGCCAATTAAGGACGTGAGCGAACTCTCGGTACGGCCCATTGAAGGCGTTGAACGATATCTTGGAGGTCGTCGGCTAATTTCTATTTGTTTATTTGCATTATTTACTCTTATATTTTATTGTTATTGATATCACCCGGACTCGGCGCCGGATGACGAAAGAGATGGCCCTCTGGGGTAAATAGAATTTATTACCCACGTTTCTTATGTTCGAAATTTATTTGATTGGAATCTGTAAATGTGTTTGAGCTTTCATCGATTGCTTCCTTCCTCTTCATCAGAGTAAAAAAAAAAAAAAAAAAGTGTTCCCCTCCCCCTCCTATTTTGAAGAATGAATGCATTATCTGCGTTCTTCTCTTCTTACTCTCCCTGTCTAACTTTCTTTCGAAATCCTCCCCCCCCCCGTTTTTTTTTTAACTTTTCAAAATTTGTTATAATTTACATTTTGTGGATTAAATTGATATTCATCAAAGCCAAACTAGCACTGAATGAATTAGATTTATAAATGGAGCTTTGTATACTTTTAGGACTTTCAACTGATAGGTAAATTATTATAAACACTAATATTGTTATTATTGCTATATATTTTGTTATTATCGCTCTTAGGGAGAATTGTCGGAACCGCCTATACCGACAATGTTAAATTGGCCATTTTCGATGTACCTTTTCTCGAAATCTGCTCTAGATACACGTTTGAAATTTTTTCTGTAGTTAAAGTACACCTGTCTGATTATACTGAAATGCTTTCGAAGCATTTTCAGTTTTGGAGTAATTAATAGAATATTGTATTAGGCATAGTAAAATTTAGCACTTTTCTTCCCTTTCAAAAAAAAAAAAAAAAAATTGTGAATTTTTTTTTCTTAGTTTATCACATAATTAAAGTAAATATTAGGTAAATATTAGGAAATATAACAAACAAGCCATAAAAAATTTAAATACCTGTTCCTGAGAGTATAAAAAATGAAATTTGGAGAAAAATGCATTTTTATGTCAAAATCCTCATATATGAAAGCATTTGATGTCTAATTAAAACTAGAATTTTACAGTTCTAATTTTCAGAGAGATTAAAGTATGGTATTTTTAGAAAGCTAAAAGTGTAGATAATTTGAAAATACAAAAGTCCCAAATCAGCATTTTTCGAAGAATTGTGGCTTCGAACACCCACTAATGTCCTAAAAAAAATTTTAATTTTCTTAAAATAGGCAAAACTAAGTTTCTGAAATCATACGTTTCACGAATGCTTGCAACTATTTTATAATTAATTAATGTTATCAATCCAGCGCAAGTGTTCTATAACAATATTCTATTTTTGCAAAATAAAATGAAGTAAATTTTGGCGAAATTATATTTTTTTTAGTCCAAAGGGGCAATTTGCCCTGAAGGACTATTAATTTTGTTTTGGCATTTTGCGTTTAAAATTATAATCACTTTTCCAATTGTACCCACGAAATATTATAGCCCTGTATAATGAAGAATTTGCATGAATGTATGTATGTTTCTCGCATTGTGATAAAACAACGGTACCTAGAGCCGTCAAAATCTGAATAACGTTATCTTCCGTGAAAGCCCTAATTTGGAATTTTAAATTTGCTTTATTATCTATTTCATATTTTGTAACCTTTTAACGAATTTTTGATTAACAAACTCCACGATTTCAAAGCGAGCACTCGCAACACTCGGAAATTCTAAATATAATCCTCATTTTAAAATTATTTTGCGATATTGCTGTTGAATTGAATTTTATGGTTTAATCAAGTATAGTACATTTTAACGATATTTGATTAACAAATGATAAAGGTACACAAAAAAGTTAAAAAAACGACGCCAACGCGTTTGGACAAGTCATTTAAAATGTCTTTTCTAGAAAGCCTCTTGGAGATTTAAAATTCAGACTTTTTTACTTAATTTACTTTAATAACTGAAAGAAAGTGGTGCCCGCATTTCTAGAAATATATAAGAGATTTATCTTCTGCAGAAGCAAATTTTTTCTCCTATTAAACGTTTCCTTAGGTTCTGTTTATTTCTGTTGTGTTCGAAGCTCATGCAATATATTGAACTTTAATTGAAGTCTGAAGAGTTAGTTAATAATATATTTTAGGGTAAATATTTAGCAACAGGTTGCTTACCTGTGAAAATTTTTTAAAAAGGACAGTAATCAAACTACGCCAAATTCAATTTTCAAGACAGTGCTCATAAATTATTACGGTATAATTAAACTTAAACTATAAAATGAAAATTTTATAGTTTTAGATTTTCAATGCCTTTGAATTTTCAAGCTTGTACTGAATTAAATAAGTGGTTATGACAAAAATTATAGATGATCCTTACAGGTAATTTCCCTCTAAATAAATAATATATATAATGAGGAGCTATTAATCGATGAACTTTCACAGTGGATTTGCATGTGCTCCATCTGAGTTATTTTTATCGTAATTATCAATTCTGCTAGGTACGGAAAGTAGTTAAAAGTAAAATGAATTTTAAAATGAAGCAAAATTAAGCAAGGAAGGGAATAAAGAATATCCGATGTGAAGTATTGTATTTCACTTCCCGCTTTAGTTTTAATCTCATTTGAAATATATTTCAGTGTAATCTTTGGAATATTTCTGTAAAAACGTAATGTGTGAAAAATTGCATTAAATTAGCTAATCATTTGAAATTGTGTAAATTAGTGAGTGTTTTGTAACATATACTTTGCTTAACAGGGTAACAGATATCTTTTTCTGACGTTAGCTGTTGAAAATAATTACTTTAGATTAATAAAAAAAAAATAAATATATTCTTCGGAGATGGTATATAATTTTTTTTCTAGTAAATTACTATAGACTACTATATTAAAAATGTAGATACTATAATATATTAAAAAAATAATAATACACTACTATATATAATTACTAATACTATAAATATAGAATATAAAACTATATAAAATAATACATAGTATTAATAAATATATTAAAAAATATGTTTCGTGGAGATGGAATATAAAAAAAATTTCTAGTAATAAATTATTCGATTATATAATATAATATATATATAAACCAATATATTATATATTATATATGCATATGATGTGCGTGTGTGTATAAATGTTTTGACTCTACTAATTTGAATAAGTAACTATACAATGAAAAGCAATCTTTCTGTCACATCAGTTTTAGAAGTAGAATATTAAATACCATTTGCTACCGGTTTCTTTTACCATGTTTAGCATGTAAATGCTAATTATAAAGTCACAGACTGACATGTGAAGATCTCCGCTCGTATTAGTACAGTATTTTACTCTTGATTATATCTTGTCATGAAGAGGACCTATATAGAAAAATTATATAGCTTTCGGTTAGATACTCGAAAATAAATTCGGATTTAATTTCTATGTTACCTGCAAATTTTGATCCGGCATTCTATACAATGCCTAGGCATTGTGTAGAATGCCGGATTTCATTGCATAGGATTTCATTGCAGAATGCCAAATTTTTTTGCATAGGCACAATGCCTAAACATTGTATAGAATGCCTGAAACTAGCAAGCAGTGTGTGAAACGTTTCATATCTAGGTATTCTATAGAATGCCAAATGACAAAACTGCAAAGTGTGAAATACATTTCCGATTCGTTTCGAAGAACCTAAACTACTTACCAGAAGTTAATAAATGACGTATGATGTAAAAAACGCGAAAATGATTACTGTGAAGGAACCACGGGACTTGGCTGCCGAATCGCTAGTATGTGATGTTTGTGGAAAACAAAAGTACATTTATATATGCTGTTAAAGAAAGCGTCAGTACTATACAGTATTACGTCACGGACGCGAGTTATTTCCTGTACTTCATGAAACCTCATTTGAGTACTGCGGGGCCCACCAACGGCCTAGCGTAAAGTCGCTGAACGCTGGTAGTTCGGTCTGAGGTTCGAATCCCGCGTACGTGTTGGCTGTATGGGCGTTTTCGTGGTTTTCCCCATGTGTAACGTGTATACGAGCCAACCAGTTTCCCTTAGAAAGTCTTCCACGAAGGCATCCCTCAGGCAGATAGCCCTCGAGGCTTTGCCGTAACTAAAACAAATCATACCAAACCAAAACCATTTGAGTACTGCACACGGACGATGTGACAGAATGTTGAAAGAACTGTCACCCAAATACAAAAATGTTACACGTAATGATATTGAACTGTACAACGTGAGTTCTGTCAGGGAAAAAAAAAAAGTGATCATTATTATGAAAATTATGATTGTTTCTGAATTTAATTTCAGGTAAATCTTACCGATTCCTGATCTTGGTCAGATAGAAAATATAAATTTATTATGTTGTATCAAGATCATCTCACTATCTTTTTCTTTTACATATTTCGAATAAAAGTTTTTTAATGGCAGTCTGATTAATTTTTCAAAATAACATTTGTATTTTTGAGGAATGAACGTCTTTTAAACAATAATCTTATCATAACCTTTCTTTTATAATTTGCTTAAAGAGCATTTGTCTATAGAATGCCTAGGTATTATATACAATGCCTAGGGAAAGTATGTAATAATTCTCCTATTTCATAATTTTACCTGAAAACGTCTGGCATTACATACAATGCTCAGGCATTCTATAGAATACCCGCGTTTCATATTTTGCCCTTAACATCTATGTTACAAGCAAAAGCCTTTCTTTCCATTTTAATCCAATAATATCAATATCAGTAATCCAGTCTGATGCCATAACGACATTCGTATGCTCTTCTTCGATATTTTGCGACATTTATGCGTTTGTTCTTCAAGCTAATTCAAGTCTTCTCGAGGTGGTTCTTTAATTTGTATTTTTCTGTCGAGAAAAAGATAAATTAAGGCGTTCTTGTATACATTCATGAATTTCAACGAAAGAAGACGCAACTCTTCGTGCTC